AATAACAAACCAAACGATGTTAAATAACAAACCAAACGATGTTAACAAAATGACGTAGAAAGCGCAACTAGATCAAAATTATACAAGCACAACTAGATCAAATTATAATACCTGAGTGCTTGACGTAACAGATATAGAAATAGAATTTGATACCATAAAAAATTATATAGAAATAGAAATTGATACCATAAAAAATTTATTCGTTTTCGTGTTCTTTCATGTATTTAGCATTTTAGTTTTTTTTTTTCTTAAGCGTTGTAGCTATATAATTTCAAACATCCTCAAGAGCTATAATACATTTGCAGCAGAACTTGATATGAAGACAAAATTGCTGGACAGGAACACTTTAATTGTCCACTAATCTTCAGATTTCCTGCTATGTTTTAAAAAACTTTATTTGTGAAAACCTTCAGCGTGGCGGACAGCTGGCCGCCTTAGGCGGCTAGTCTTAAATAAAGTGGCATATAAATTACAAGTATAACTATAACTAAAATATGCTTTTATTAATTATTTAGATTTATAAAAGCCATATTGCCTTGTTATTGGCATCAAGATATTTTAATTATTACAAAAAATAAATCAAGTTTTCAAAATTTTTTTAAATATACAAAGATTAAAAAAGCAATTTTGTTAATATTTATTTCATTTTTAATTTAAAATTTCAAAATTACTTTAATTACAATCAAAAGAGAAATTTTTTTTTAAAAAGTAAGTATTCGGCCTAAAATTTGGCCGAATATTCGGTATTCGGCTATTCGGCCCCATCACTATTCGTTGCATCACTAATTATTTTATGAAAATTAATTAGATTTTAGTCATTAAAAAATTAAATCTTCCTGCTCTTTCATGTTATTTGTACATGATCATAATGTCTGTTTTTAATATAGCAGGAAGTAACCTTTCCTGATTTTAAAAAACAAACATGCTATATTGCAATTCACTTTATTGAAAATTAATCATTCAAAACAGTATAAGAATTATTAAATTGTGAAGATATTTACAATTTATACGCACTAAATCCGAAAATAAATTGCTGTTTAAGTGAAAATTGGTTTGTAATTAATTATTAGAAAATTGTTTTTTATTTTTAATCTGTTCTTAAAAAAAGTAACAATAGTTGAGCATCTTTTTATTATTAAAAGATTATTCTAAGATTTAAACATCATCAAATAATTAGTTGGCAAGGTAGGGACTTATATCCTTTTCACAAAGACACTCAAGATGATAGAAAAAAATAAAATACATAAAAACTAGAAAAATTGCCAGCTTTTCAACAAGAAAATTAGATTTTGATGTTTATTTTTTTATTAATTTTTATTATAATAATAAAAGACATTGATTTTTGACATTATTGATGATCAATTTAAAATAAGAAACAAGCATTTTGACAAATTTTATTTTCATAGCATATTGACATATGAAACAGGCAATTTAATTAAGGATCCTTTCCGCAGTTTCATACAAATGTTAACTTGTTATGAGTTCTAAACAACCTCAGCCAAAATCACATTGCTAGTGCTGCCCGATTGACAGATGTTCTCTTGTTCCTCGAAACAGAAAATATTGTTAGATATGTAGGGGTGGCAGGAGCCAAAATTGACAGAGATAGAGGGGGAAATGAAGGCATTTCTTTTTCTTATAGTTTTGTCCTGAGAAAAAGGAAAAAAAAAGAAATGGGAATAGCTTGGGGTGTAGGTACAGAGCATAAAACTTGAACTTTTCAATTGCCAATATGAAAATCAGACTGTAATAATAATTTATATAGTGACTAATCTCTAATGTTATGAATAAAATGACTGATTAAGACAAATTTGTTACTTTTTCATATTATTTTGCCCTTATATTAAATGACCATTTTACTTAGGGTCATCGTGTGAGGAAATATCTGATGATGACACAAAAGTTCCTGGTGAATGGTCTTCACAGGTAATATTGTTATTTCTTTCTCTCAAATATAGTATTTAAACATGATTTGTTATTTGAGTAATTACATATGAAAGTAGAGATTTCTTACTGTATAACAATAATAAATAATGAATGCTGTTTATTATATTTGTTGTAATTTTTATCATTAGCTTAATGGAAAAGTTTTTTTCCAGATTGATACAGTAGTAGAAACTTGATTTCACATTGTTCTTTTTGTATGTTAATCTTGCTTCTTACATCATTTTCTACTGATTTGAGAAAAGTACCTTTACCGATAATGTCTCAATATAGTTTTTATTAAAAATATCACAGATATTATGCTATCCTTTTTATAGAAAATCCCACTTAACACCTTTATTTCAATCCCTGTTTGAACATTTTTCTTTGAAAACTAGATGAAAAAAATGTGATATAAAATATACATAACCAAAAAATCATTTTGTTTCTTGATTATATAGAGCTGAAGTTGAATATGTGTGAGTGAATTTTTTCCAGCGAACTTCAACCTTTTAAGAAAATTAAAGGAAACAATTGATTCAAAAATCACTTTTTCTTGATTCTGTTGACCCGCAAGATGCTTCTTAAGAAAAGATAAATGTTCTAGAAGTTCTGAATTTTATTTCTGCTGTGTGAGACAGTGTTGATAAAAAATGTATTACCAATGGGTTTAATGAAATAGGTATTCAACAATAATATTTGCCCTTCGGAAAAAGAGGATAACGTGGCTGAAGATTTTCATGAAATCGACTGTGACATGCATCTCATCACTTCACGAATTCCTCTGATGATAGAAGATGCTATCTGCAGCTAATCAAGTGATCCAAAGCATAAAATCTTTGAAACAATTCTTTATTGAAATGCAAACCATGATGCAAATTTTCAAAACAATTTTAGTGTTGAACTTGTTATTGGTTCAGTTATTTAAGAAAAAAAATTACACATTTTTTTAAAAAAGTTCATCTAGTTGTAAAATTCTCTTAGATATTTTTTACTTCAATTTAAACTTTTTACTTTTTAATAACCTTTTCCAGCTTTCTGTGTTTTTTACCACTGGTTTGACAAAAAAACATGAAATTGAGGTTCCTTTGTATTATGATTAAAAAAATTTACAGAACGTGTAAATTACTACATATCAAATTTCTAATTTATAGCTTAAAATATAAATATAAATAATTTGTTAGGAATTCTGCTTATTTATTCAAAGCTTAGTATAATCATTGATTTACGCTTATTCAATTAGCTATTAAGTTTATTTAATCGGTGGATTTAAGAGTAGTGTTCTGTGCTTGTTAGAAAGTTCTCTTCATGTTCATCAGCAATATTCACAGCATAATATTTTCTACCAATTATAATATATGTATTTGCTCGCATAGCTTGTTATTATTTTTGTGGCATTAGTAATTTTTTCCTTTCTATCCACCCATACTTTTTGGAGACAGATTTTAATTCAAATTTAATGACTTTGCTTGTGTTTAATTTATTAACATTTCTCAAAAAATTCCCTCTTAATTAAAATATTTATTCTTTTTTGTTTACAGGAATTAATTCATTCAAAGTCATTTTGTACATGTATTAAAGACGACGTACCTTGTCTGTTTGACGGAGAATCCTTGCAGCAAACGTGTGAGGGAGAAGATACAGTAGATGGAAATGTTTGTTTTAAATTTCTTATTTATATGAAAAAAAATTATTTACTCTTTTAATGCACAGTGCATAAAATAAGAAATAGACTACCTTAATACTTTTAATCTAATAAATAGATTTTCATGTTCTAAGATAAAATCTTATTGGTTTAAAGGGCTCATTAATAAAGTTTTTTTTTCTTATTTTATTTTAATGTGAATGCTTATACATAGAAAATTCCACTTTGTGCCTTGTTTTGTAATTTAAAATATCATATACTGTTTGTCTACGATAGGTACTCTGTCCGCCACAAAGTCTGCGGCAGTCTGGTGCTATGGAAACAAGAAGAGAGCATTTTAGGGAGGGTGGCTTCGATGAAGTGGTCTCCTTTTCTTTCGCCTTCGATGATAGCTTGTATGGGGAGTATACCAGATTGGCTGACTCAGCCACCAGTAGGAGACTTATTTAATCTGATTCAAGAACTTTTTTAAGATTCGCATGAATATTTCTTTCTTACTTAAAATAATTCTCTCGATTCAATCAGTTGTTATTTTTTAAATACAAAGGAAAAAAAGTGAACAAATTCTGACATTAAGGGTAGTACAGGTTTTTTTAATATTACTTTTTAATTTTACGATATTTATTATGAATGTTCATTGATTGTTAGATGGTTTAATTTCTAAACTTGCACATTTTTTAAAGCAGTTAATTTCTTTTATTACTTGAATTTTCTGGAAAAAGTGAAGAGCTTAAACTTAATAACTCTGATTTTAAAAGGAGATAAAACTTTTGCTGAAAATAAAAATAGTTCACGTTATCTGTGCCGGAGAAATATTAAATATCTTTGTTTTGATTATTAATTTTTAAATATTTTATTTATTTATTTATTTATTTTTTTTTTTTTTGAAACTGAAAGCAAGTGACCGCAACTAGGATGAAATCTAAAACTATCAACGATGATTTTTATCAGCACCCATCAAACCATCTGAAATTATCTGAAGTTTTTTTTGCTTAAATTACGTTTTCTTATTCATATTTTATTGTAACCTGTACAGTTTTTTTTCACTATTTATTAAAAACAGTTTTTATTAGCAAATTTATTTTTTTCTTAATAACCAATTTACTATGTATGATAAATTTATAGATGAGTTATTTATTAATAAAACATTGAGCTGCTTTAAACAATTTTATACAATTTCCATACATATTCCATACATACATATAAATTTTTTTAATTTTTTTTCTAAAACAGAAGCTTTTGAAAAAGAGAAAAGATTAAAAAAAAGGAATCACACGCTCTAAACGATGTTTCAGGCGTGAATGCTAATTTCTCTTAACTCTAGGGCTAATACAATAGATCGAAGAAAGAAGTCTCCTTTTCTCCCACCGAAACCAGTCTTAAAGAGCGTCCCCGCACCCCGACTTGAAATAATCATACCTCGTTACCATAGTCCCCGCCACCCCTCCAGACGAATGGCGGACAGAGTACCTATCGTAGACAAACAGTAGGTCAGCCCCTGAACCATTATGATTGTGTCTAAATGTAGAAAGTCTGATTTATAAATCCAAAGTTATTTAAGAGGTAACCTTTTCATTTTGTGATTTTCGCTCATAAGGGCTAATTTTATGTTATTAATTTGTCTTAGATTGTTCCATGTTCTCGCCAAATTTATACACACTCCTTGCTTTCACCTTCACAAAAGGTTAAATTTCGTATATTCTGTGATATTCATCTTTGGAGACTTAAACACCACCACTGTTGCCCATGTTGTGGAATTTTCTGCACTCAGGTAACATTATCTTATTGAACTTATTCATAACCTAACTACTTGAAGAAACTATAGTAATTTTAAGAAAATAATGTTTTAACTGTTTATACATTTGATTTGTTATAATAATTGCAACATTTGATCAACCTCATCTTTTTTTTTTTTTTTTTAATAAACTGCATCAGAAGTGAGAGGCAAGTTGAAATAATAAATATTGAACTTCATTGCTTCACCAACAGTTTTCTTAACACATGGCTGTAAATTAATCAAAATTTAAACTGTTCATAAGAATTCATAATGATGTTAAACTTCCCTTTATCTTCGTGTTATTTTTTTAGAAGAAGTAATAATAGTTAATTATAATTGTGTAAAGTAGTTAACAATAGATAATATTAATTTTTGTGCATAAAACTTTTTTTTTTATCAAGAAACATGTATAAAAATTATTAAGGGGTCTATATGGGTTTTCCTAACAAAATTTTTGAGTCTTTTGAAAAAAGAAAGAAAGAAAGCAAAAATGCTGAAACCCATTCACTGGAAACAAAAAATTATAGACCTATCCTCTAAATTAGAATCGTCTACAAATTCAAGCGTTTTGTTTAAAGTTATTTATTTAAAGTTTTGTCTTGAAGTAGTTTTTCTTAATTCACTGTTTTTTACCTTGTGCATAAGACTTCTCTACTTCTATTAACGCTAAACAGTGGAAACTTGATAATTGAAATTGCCTTGAGTTGCGTGTTGCATAAATTATTCAAGCACTTGAATAGTTGTAAATGTTTTAGACATTTTTGAATCAAAGCACTTTTTTTTCTTATGAAAATACAAATAATTATATATTTTTAATCTAAGAGATGCTTTTTATTTTTCAATTTCTTTGTCCACAATGTGATTTTGTTTCCTACAAGTTTTAGCCCTAAAGAAATTTAAAAAATCGAAAAAAATTTTTAGCTTATATTGCATGTTGTACATTTTAGAAGCATTGATTTTTTTATTGTAAATGTGTTGTTATTCGATTGTTTTATTATATGAATATTTCCTTAAATGAGTGAGGAAAAAAAAAGGATAGAAGGATACAAATAATGGTTTTGTAAAATGAGAAATTTGTTGTGTGTTTCACAAAAGTTTTATATGATTATTACTTCAGCAGATACACTTTATTTTCTTTTTATGTATGGTTTAAAGAGAATTGAAGGTTTTGAAAATATTAAAATATAAGTTGAAAAAATGAAAAAGAAAGAAACATTGTTTTAATGAAAAAACTATAATTCGAATGCCAAGTTTTTCTGCTGAACTGACCTAAAAAATTATTTATTCTCTTATGTCTGATAATTTAAAAAAAAAAGAAAAAAGCATGGTATGTTAAAATTATTGTTTTATTTAAATATTTCTGAGCATTTTTATCACAATGTAGAAATCAAACAATATTTTATTGTTTTTTTTTTTGTTTTTTTAAATGACACTGGAATGGAATTTTTGAAAATAATTAATTTGCCTTTAAAATTTAAGTCATGAACTATTTTAAAATATAAGTTATCTAGACATTCCTCTCCCCCAATTTTTTTTTTGTCGTGATATGATAATTTTGACAATCAGTTTAATTTGAAATTTTAAAATTTAATGACCCTGCTGCACTCCTTAGGTGCCATATCTATTTTTCTTGATTGTATAAAGCTTCACCTAAATTAATTTAATACATTGTTTTTCCAATCCACAATATATTTTTATACTATATTTCTATTATATATTTTTTTTTTCTCCTTTCATGTCTTTTTACTAAATTTGTTTCAGTTTCCTTAATTATTTAGTATTTTTTAGTAATTTTCCTACTTATATTATGTGCTTTTACTTATATATTAACAAATTGATAATATTTATTTGAAATTTTTTACGCAATCCATAATTAAGTTTTTTTCTTTTTAGGGTAAATTTCTGATGTGCCAGTGTGAAAATGTAGAAAAGCATAATGAAGAGATTCATTTATTCCACACTGATTGTTATCTTGTACCTCGTGCTGGATTGCCACCTGGATGTCCACATTGTTGTAGATTTACAAATTTTGATGAAGTACAATTAGCATTGAAAACGTTACCCGAAGAAATTAGTAAAATGTGTGCATTTTTTTCTTTTTTCTGTGCTATTATGAATTGAAATATGTAAAGATGCTATCAATTATTTATCAATTAGCCAAACTTAGTGCTAAACATTTAGCTATCCCAAATTATGTAATTATTGACTCAAAATTGCCATTTATTTTCTTAAGCAGTTTATTTACTTGCAAAAGTTAAACTGATTAAAATATTTCCAGCTGCAAAAGTTAAAATATATGTGCATTGAATTCTCATGAGATTAATGTTTTGTTTATTCTTTATTCTTGTAATCTTTAAACATAAAATTATGTTTTTAAATTGTTAAAATATTTAGCATCTTAGCTTTTCAAAATACTCTCCATAAAACTGCAAGAAAAGTTTTCATGCTAATGTAGGGATTTGCCAATTTTCATGATTTACTGTACAAGATGGCAGTTACCTATTACTCAAAAGCAAATGAATTTATAAGTTTAAATGATCTTATGCAGATTATTTTTATTATACAGACATAGCTTGCAATGAGTCTATTTGTTTATTTGAAAAGCTTTCAATAGTAAATTAGGAAAACCTTTTTATTTTAGCCTTTTTTTTTAACAAAAAATTTTTGAACTGGTGCCAAGTATTTGAGATTTTAATGAGACATTAAATGTCCTTTTTAATGTGACAATTTGAGTAATTACTCAGTTTTCTTGATTGAATAATCAAATCTAGAGCAATAGATGGAGTGAAAAGCTTAAAAAACTATCATATATTTAAGAAGCTTAAAAATTAGTTACCAGTTTCATCAACATATAGTATTGTTGATTAGAAGTACTATAAAATAATGTTTTTCACTTCATGTCTGATCATTCTAACTAAAATTATATCCTGGGCATCTGTTACTGTTGTATTCAGCTTTGCCACTTAGTTGCAAATGTTTGTTATTTTAAAAGCATTTTTTTTTCTATAGCTTATGATAGTTAGCAGTGACATTTGTGGATGAAATATTTTACAAACTTTGAAACTAAATAAACTGGTTTCCTATACTGAATGCTATTAAGTGTACATTTCCTTCTCCTCCCCTTTTTCTTTAATTGAATTCTCAAATTTGCATCTATTTTTGGACTTTTAGTGCCTATTATTGTTTTTTTCTCTGAATTTTAAAGTCTATTTTCTTTAAATAAAATATCAGTTTCTTTTCTTGTTTATTACTAAACAAATATTCTTTAAGGGATAATATAGAACTCTGCAAATCAACTCATTATTCGGAGAATATATTATAATAGAACTCAATATTTATATTTCATTTTAGAGATTCTACTGTTCGAAACTTGACTGGCCATTTGAAGGATTACTGTATCTCTATGAAAATTGTGAATGTAGAAAATGAAAAACCATTAGAAAGTAAATATTTTTGTTTTTATAATCTATTTTTTCCAATAAATCACATTTTCATATAAGTTCCTGAATGTGTAATGTGTGCATGCAGTGAAGGACTTTAGTTATATTTATTTAATCTAAGTAGTGTATTAATTTTAAAACAATTATTTGTTGAAAATCATTTTAAAATATTTAATTTTTTAGCCTTGAAATATAATATTCCAGAAAAGGAGGAGCTTAAATCAATGCTGATGGCCATTAGTGATAAGTGCCTACACTTAAGACCTACTGGAAAATGTCTCTACAATCCTATAAAAGTAGGAGATGTGAAAAAAGTTTTACAACTATTAGGTGCGAATTTTAATTGTAATATTTAATATATGAATTTTATTTGTTATTGTAATTTCTTGCTTCTGGCCCACAGATTACATGTAGAAAAAACACAAAAATCATTAGTGCAGATAATTTGCCGAAATTACTTCCTGGGTGACAAATATCGCAAATTACCAATCTTACTTTCGTCAGTCACAAAACTGTAAGGGACTATTTACAATGTACATAAAAAAAATTCATTTGCAAATGAGAACCTTATTGGTAGAATGCATTTAACTGTAAGAAACTTTCCAGTTAGGTTCTTGTTTGTAAATAAATGTACATTTTACTGTTTTTAAAGCATCAACAGAAAGGGAGTTAAATTGTTTTTGCAGTATAACCTTGATTATTTGAACTTTTATGTTTGTCAAAATACCTTGGTGCCTTATCTTTTTTGGTGGTACTTAACAAAATACTTTTTGTCAAAGTGTGGTGTGAGTTTTGAGCACTGCAACATTGGAAAGTTAATTTGATATTTATTGAGAAATGACGAATTTTAAATGTATTGCTTTTCAAATAGTTTCAATTATTATTATTTTTTTTAAAAAAAATATCTAAGACTGATATTCTGTTGCCACCAGCATCATATTGATTATTGGTCAATGACTTTATATATATGCAAGTGTAATATGCAAAAACGATAGTCTGGTTGCAAAGGTTTTGTTTCTTTTTGTCACATAAGAATAATTTGATGAATATCACAGTCACATTTAAGTAGGTAATAGCTTTATTTAAGTAGAATAATTTTCTTTCATAATTTTAAATAAGTTTGTAAGAACTATATATAATAATCTGTTTAATTACTGAAGCTAATTTTTTTAATTTAATTTTTGTTTATTGTTTCAGCAGTATAACATAATTAATATGATAAAATAAATAGTATTTATCTGTATATCTGTTTCATTATTTCACTCATTTAGTTTATATTTCTTTACAGTGAATGGGGTCAATCCGAACCATAAATTTAAAACGCACAAGAATAATACTCCTCTTCATATAGCTGCATATTTTGGCTTTATTGGTATTGTTCATGTTTTACTTCAGGTAATCTTTCCTGTAAATTATTGACATTATTTGTGCAGTTAAAGTTAGAATTACTTTATTTATGCATTTAATTATTATTAAGTTATGCTCTCTGATAAAGTATTATCATTAAAAAGATTCAATTGTTTTTCTTTTCAGCCATTGTTTATTTTTTCATCATATTAATACTTTAACAATTTATAATTCTTTTTGATATTTTCTTCTATAAAAATAAAAATGTATGATGTTTACTTTACTTTAAAAATGTGATACAAAAGGTAACATTAACTTTGGTTTATTTAGCTACTTTTTCATTTAGCTTAAATGCAAATTTCAATTGACATACTTTAAGCAGAATGTGCAAGTTATTTCGTATCTTTATTTTTTAAGTTAGTTTTGATACTCATAAAATGTATATATTATATATATTAAAAAGATTTAAAAAAATATTTTTTTGTAAATGCAAAATTGTAGAAATCAATGATAGATTTTAGAGTGATTACAAATCAATGTGTTTTTAGAATTTTTTGATTTGTAATCTAACAACTTCTTTAATATTCCTTTTGAAAATTGAAATTATTGATAATTTTCTATGATTAACTATGCTGATTGCAGTTTAAGTATTCAGGATACATTATAGTGATTCACTTTAATTGGCATTTAAAATGTGTTTTATAGTTAGCAAAGGCTAACATCCACCCACTAAACTTTTATTTATGACAATTGTAATTTAAGTTTGTCTTGTTTAAATATGCTGAAAATCAAAGGCTAAAAAATAGTAATGAAAGAAGTCAACATACAGTAGATATGACTCAATATTTTGTTTCAATATTTTGTATATTGATATAATTGCTGTGAAAGCAACAATAAAAAATCATCTCCTATTCAAAAATTTTTGATTTGATTGAAAAATTTATAATTATTTTGTATTAAATAATACTAATCATTTTTTTTTTAAAAAAATAGTCTAATAAATATTTATTTTAATTGCCTTGACTGAAACATTTACTGAATGCAATTAAAATTTTATTGTAAGTTGTCAGATTTTATCATTTGCAATTAAAAAAATTTATTGGTCTTATAATGTATTATCAATGATAACATTTTGTAAAAAAGAATAATTAAATAATTTATTTAAAAAAATATGCTCTGTGACCTCATAATTCAAATTTAGAGCCATGCTGAAAAAATAACCTGTGAGCTTCTGATATTGAGCAATGTAGACAAAACTTTTGAGTTGCCCCTAAAAAGGACTAGTCATTTTATTAAAGCGAATTAAATGTGCATTGCAGTTTCAAACATATTATTCCATATCTCAGTAGAATGTTTTTTATCATATTCGAAGTAATTGAACTTATTGGCCGTAGAAACTATATTCTTTTTCAGATTTGAGATATATTATGTTGTCCCTCTTAAATATTTGTTTCTACTAAACCAGCTTTAAATCTTTTTAATGTAATGTCTAGATTAATTTATAAATTTTTTCTATTCTGATTATTATTGCTACTTAGAACGGAGTTGCAATACTTGAATAAACAAATTAATTTACTTATTAATTATGCTGAAAAATATGTTTATAACACTTCACATTCTCTCACATATTTAGGTGCTGAGTAAAATTAAATGTTGTTTAAGATAAGAATGCTTTCATTTATTTGTTTTCTTTGATAGAATATGCATACATTAAGAAATAATTTGATCCCATGTGTTAGTCAACTTTTAACAGATACACTTTTTAGGAGTGATTGTAGTAGGGGTGTATCTCGGAATTCCGGATTTTTAAAATCCTTTATTGCTAATAACATTCTAGCGATTTTAAAATCCAATATAGCAATTCATATTCACATGATTTTAAAATCTAATATTGAAATTCTTGTAAGAAGAATTGTTGTTTTTTTCTTGGATAAGTTACTATAAAGGTGGGATTTTCTTCATTAGTAACTAATTTAATTATATATGTTAGTTCAAAACTTAATGTTAAATATGAAACATGTATGGTATATAATTTGATATCTTGATACCAATTTTTTTGACATAAAAATTTCAGGGTTTTTACTTTGTGTCTCAACTGCCTCTTAATTATTTAAAAATTTACTTCTTAGAAGCAGTGACAATATATTTGATGATTCAAATAAAAAAAATAAAACTTATTTTTTAATTTGAAATAAATCCATTTCTTTATAGGTACATTAATTTTGTAAGAGCATTTTAATTTTATTAACAGTGTTTTTTTTAATTTTTTATGTAGTATGGTGGTGTGATAAATGCTGTAAATGATGATTTAGAAACTCCACTTATTTTGGCTGTTGAAAGAAAGCATATAGCTGTAGTTCGCTACATGATATGGGCTGGTGCTGATATAAATGCAAAGGTAATTATTTTATTTTTGTATTTTATAACTTACTCTTTTAATCTTAGTTATTTTGATATTAAGTTCTTTGTTTTTTAGTTATACTTTATTTTGCATAAGTAAGAATTCATACATACATTTTTTTAAAAGGCAAACTTCATAATATATTTTGTATCTTACATATTTTAGTCTGCACATGCATGCTTAATCCATAAATTTTGTTTAGTGATGTGGCCAAATTTTGAGTATAGCTGAAAATAAGATCGAAACTAATTTTATAGAAAGCTTTTTGGATATCTTTTAATAATTTTTTTGTCAAATCAACCTGATTTTATGATAAAACTAATTTATTAGTAAAAAAATTTTTTTTTCTTTTTCTTTTTACACGCAAAATTTAACAATAAGAACCCTAAAATTGTTTAATGTTTCTATTTAGACTGAAAATGGTTTGACTGCTTTTCATGCGTCCTGTAAAAGTGGTTGCAAAGATATCGCTCAGCTTTTGTATGATGTGGGAAACTTTGATATTAATATTCAGGTATTTATTTTTAACTTTATTATTTGTATTTTTATTGGTATTTTATTACCCAAACACAACCTTAAGCAATAAAATATAGTATCAAAATAAATGTTAAATATTTAAAAAAAATGATTATGAGCCATGATGGGTCAGTATTTCTGATACTGACAAGAGAAGTATTCATCTGTAAAATTGCTATTGGGATGAAACTCAACTTAAATTGAAGAACCTGGTCTACCACATAGGTTATGGTAAAAATTGGGATCTATGACAAAATCTGACCCCTGAAGTTTTAGTTCATTTATTATTAAAATTAAAAAAGCATGTAGAATAGTTGCATGCTTCTCTAAATGGTTGAAACATTTTACTGATAACTGAAAGAACAGTGGTTCTAGTTCTATCCCAGCTGTTGGCACTTTTTAAATTTCATTTCTCAATGCTGTAAAATGTGTTATATTTCTCTTTATTTAAAGTACACATTATAGAAAATCTGATTAAATTTAGTAACTATTTTAAAATTTATTTATTAATTATCTGATGAGTGAAGAAATTAAATATGTATACATGTACTCTCCTTAGTTTACATGCATTTTATTTGTATTAATTTTTAAGTTTTTTTAAAATTTTCTTAGCAGTATAGTTCCTTATTTTGTCTGCATTTATGCCTTGCATCTTATTTTACAAAATACTTTATTATTGAATATGCCAATAAAGTGCTTTATCGGTAGTAGCCTCAATTGTTGAAGTTGGCACGATCTTTAATTGTTATAACACTTGGCAAATGTTCTCTGAAAATTAAAAATTTTTTTTTTTTAAAGATTAAACCTTTTGGTTCACTTTACTTTTTCAATAAAAATGCCTTGTTTATGTTTTTGCATTACATTTGTTACAGTTACATTGGTTGACATTTTTATTAAAAATTTTCTTCATTTAAAATGTTATATTTTTAATGAAAATAATTTTTAATATAAATGCTTTGTTTGCTGAAGAGCATTAGCTTAGTTAATGTTTTTCTCTAAACAAGATTTACTAAAGTGTTAAAAAGCTATCTGCTAATTACAATTTAGGTATTGACAGAGGCAATTGGTATACCCACATTAGCAAAGCCTATAACTATTGTGGTTTTTGTATTTTTTTTTTTCAGTTTTAATTTAGCCTTATGTTTTTTATGTGTAGTTCAGTTCTTGTATTGAATGTATCAACATTTTATACAATATGTTAATATCTAGATTACTATAATTAATTCTAATTTTTATTGTTTTTGTTTCATTATTAATTTGTTTTTGTAATTTGAATAACTTAGTCAAAATATAATTTCTAGGATGACGGGGGCTGGACACCACTTGTATGGGCTTGTGAATACAAATACTTGAATACAGTCTTATGGCTGTTGGAACTTGGTGCTGATCCAAATATTCGAGATAGTGTACGCAGGATATTTTTAAAATTTAATGAATAATTTCTTTGTGTTTATATTTTGTGAAAATTTTTTTACAGTCCTCCATTAGTTGTAATATGCTTAAGTCTCACAAATCTTTTCAAGCTTTTTTTTCATACATAAATTTTGAAAGTATAAGTTATCCATTTAAATGAAATATTTATACTGCATCTAAATAAATTACAAATGTTTTTCTCACCATTTGAAAAGACTTGAAAAATTATTAATAAAAATGGAAAGCATCCATCAGCTTTAAATTGTATTTTTCAAGTGCTCTTTTTCTCTCTATTAGTAAAAGTGTCTTAATTCACTTTTTTTTAACCAATTTTCAGTTAAATATATTTGTATGAGATTACTTTTGTTTATTTTTTCTTAACGGAATTTTTTGTGTCTTATAATTCAGGACTTGATGAATTTATTAAAATACAGTAGAGCGCCGATTATCCAAACCCTTATTATCCGAACGTCCAATTATCCGAACTATGTCCAAATTCGCTTTATTTTTCTTCTCTTTTTTAAGTTTAGAATTTTTTTTAACTTATCGACAATTTTTCTAAATTTAGAGGAATAGATAATATCCACTACATCTGAAGACCATATTTAATTTACAACCTTTTTCAGCAGTTTTCTTATAATAGCCATACATACATGTATTGCTATACAGTTAAACCTACATACCCCTTTAGCTCTCTTCAACTGAAAATTATCATCAAAGAATGCGAGCTTCATTTTGACAATCTACAATTGTTGGAAAGCGGAATGTGTTTATGAATAGATAAGTGCTGAAATTCTACAATTGGGGGATGGGTAGTTGTCACTCATGGTTAATGATTAGTGATTACAGTGCTTGGAATCTTAAATCTTGGAATAAAATTCTTATCAGAAAAACAAACGAAACTGCAGTTTGTGAATCGGTAGATCTTTCGGGTGAAAATATGCCAGGTTATACAGCAGAAGAAATAGAAGACTGGTGTCGAGACACTGAAAACGACTCAGGATTTCAAATTTTAAATGATCATGAAATTGTTTCTGAAATTTTGAATGAAAATCGGAACTCCTCAGATTAAGAGGAAGAAGTACGTGATCAAGTTCAAGATCGTGGACCTTCTCATAAGAAGCATGCAATTCATTAGATATTGCAATGAATTGCCTAGAACGTCAAAATGATGTTGATCCAATTCAGTTGATTTATTTAAAAAGAATAAGGGATATGGCTGCACAAAAAAGAGCATGTTCTTTGAAACAAAAGTCTTTGCTGGATATCTTTTGCAATGGAAAATAAAGAAAAATGTGGTAAAATCAGTAATTGACAAAAAAAATTATAAAAAAGCCGAAATATGATAAAAATGATTCAAATTGAAAAAAAAAGTTTAAAAAAATATATTTAAAAATTGAAAAAAAAAAGTCTTAAACTCGCCAGAGCTATTTTAGATAGTACTGCCAGTCCTAAGCCTAGAAAAAGTGTGAAGGGAAGTTGGTGCATAAATAATAATCATTTAAACTAGGTTTTAAACAACTTTCCAATTATCCGAACATTTCATTATCCGAACCACGTTCGGTCCCGAGCAGTTCGGATAATCGGCACTCTACTGTAATTGTATTCTAATTTCACAAATTAACTTAATGTAAAATTATTATTATTATTATTGTTGTTTATATTACTCATCACCATGAAAATATTTTTTCCGCAGTTAATAGTTGGTAGATTTCAAAAGTATGATGCATTTTTCACATTATTTAGTGTAGTTTTTTAAACATATCTTAAAAAGCAAATATTTTATAAAAGAATTAAGGAAAAATAAAATGTAAAAAAAAAATTAATAAGGAGTAAATATGTTGCATTTCCTTATAGGTCTATTATTATTATTATTATTTCATTATGCAAATAAGGAGAAAAGTTTCTAGAAAGTAGAAAGAATTTCATTGCTTATTACAAATTATTTATCACTGATCAAAATCATTTATCACTATCAAAATCATTTATCACTATCAAAATATGATTTATTATTTATTTTATACTCAACATTTTTCATTTTATCAGGGTAACCACCCTGTCTGGAAACAGGGAAAACCTGAAATTATCAGGGAATTTGAAAATATTCTGTAAGATAATCAGCAATTCTAAGTGAAAATCACGCTAATCTCTGAAAAATATTAGTGTTTTATAAAATGATCATACACAATTTCAACTTTAATGTGTTTTTATCCATTATTAGACTATAAAACTGGTTTAGATTATTCATCATATCTTAAACAGTGGTACTAGGATCATTAATTTTTCTTGTCATCAGTTCAAGCTTTTCAATTTTTAAATTGCATCTGAAAAAAAATTACATTCGGAATAATCCTTTATGATTTTAATGGTATTAAATTTATCTGATATCCCTGATTCCATATTGAAGAAGTTAGAATACTAAATATTATGATTTTTGATATAAAGAAGGCAAAAAATATATAAATTCGAAGGTTTAATTATTCAGGTGTTATTAAATAGCTTATTTTTAATTGTTTATGTGTGAAAATTTTGTAATTAATAAACTTGAATCTTCCATTTCCTTATTATTTTTAAAAGTAATTTTTTTATGATTATTTTTCACATTATTTATTTTATAACAATAATATTTCTGTTAATATAATTTTAGGAATTGAATATTGCATCTCACTGGGCTGCTTGTTCTGGAGAAAGTGAAATACTTAATGTTTTACTTGATAATGGCTGTAGCTTAAGTTTTGTCAACAGAAGAGGTGACACAGCTCTGTGAGTATTTTTCTGAGCTACTGCTTTTATTTTTTAAAGTTATTTTTCTCTCATTTGCTACACAAATTTATGTAATGTCAAATGTCAATTTTAAAGGGATTGAAAATACGAAGTATATTTTCTTTAACCAAATATGTAATGAAAATAATCCTTGGCATTAACCGTACCATTCAGCCTAATGATGAAATAAAAAATTAGTGGCAGGTTTGGGGAAAAAAACTCAACCTCTTCCAAAATCCAGTTTTTTTATAATTATTATTATTGTTTTTGTTTATTTAAATCAAAGGATTAAATAATATTTTACATTTTAAATTAAAGTAATTAAGCTATTATAAAGTATTATCATGAAAACTTTTTTAACTATTAATTAATATTAATAAACCTTTAAAATATCCAATTTTCTTCAATAAACAACCTGCTGACTTGATAAAAAAAAGTATAACTGGTGATTTTAATCATGCTTTAACATTACTTTAAAATGATATTTAGCACACAAATAGAAAGTTAATGTTGAAATAGTATATTAGTTATGTTTGTAAAGGAATAGGTTCCTCTTTGTTTCCAGTATGTAGGAAAAGGTCATACTTCTCATTAATTAATATAAGTAATTAACATTACTCAATTTATAACATTTGCATTAATAATTTACTTAAATAATCATGTCTGTCTTCTTTTTTCAATTGAGTTAATATAAATTTTAACTTTTAACCAAGAACAGCATGAAAAATGTGAGATAATATATTTTTCCTATAAAAATGTTTGAAATTAATGAAATGATGATAACAAAATATAATGCATACATAAATACTATAATATGATGAAATAAAGATAAGCTTTAATGCTAATAATTTAATCATAAATAATGAATAAACTAATTTTATGAATAAGCCTTAACTAAGACAATGTTTTCTAATAATACAGCATTATGTAAAATAATATACATATTAAATACATAAATTAAAAATTTATTTACACTGATGACCAAAAACAAAAATTTCTAAAGGTAACTTAAATATAAAATTCAGAATAGCACCTCATTTCCATTTACACTTTTGATCTAATCAAGCCTAATGCATTATTTAACAAGATTATGAAACAGAGAACTTTTGATGTTAACTTATTCTATGATTGCATTTTTTAAATAATTTTGAAAACTATCAGAACACGAAGTTGGTGATGGCTTGTATTATTTTTAGAACTTTTAGTGACATCTTGATTTGAACTAACTTGAAATTTACTCACATAAATTTTTTTATAAATATATTTGTGCAGCAGGGCAATAATACGTAAACATTAAAAAATTATAAATCACTTATATTTATTTAAGTAACACAGACTCATGTTAGCAATTAAGATTATAAACATCTTAACAGGAAAGTTTGTTATATAGGAGATCTTATAGAAGTAGGAAATTTTTTTATGTAGATATATTTAAACTGAGAGTATTTATTTGATTAATATAAAAATTAAGTTATTTAACGCTTTTTTTTAAAAAAAAAAATAGGAAAAGAAAAAAGCTACTTTCCAAAAATCGTGGTTTAAAACGACATTGGTTTAAAGCAGCTAACTCTGGTTAGTGGGCCATGTATATTACCATAAAATATAAACAATAGCAAAATTACTGTTGCCAGATACCAGATCCTCATGGTGTTAGTTTCTATAGCAAAGCTAAGTAATTTTTAATAGGAATTTACTTGTTTTGTTTTCGCTCCAGTAGATTTTGCAATGATATAATTTAATTTCTTACCAAAGTCACCTTGCTTTGCATTATTTACTACTTTTTCCAATGGAATTTATTATTGAATATAGATTATTTAAATTTTTCTACAAATATTTATTAAATTAATTACATAATTTTTCTAATTTCAGTCACATTGCAGCACGAAAGGGTCACTATTCATGTGTCAGGTAAGATGTTTCACTTATGTTTAATGTGTAATTAAAATTTATTTTTTATGTTTAAAATGATACATAATTTTTATTTACCTTTTTGGTGATGTTTCTGTATTTCAATGTTAAATGTAAATAATTAATATAAATTTATAATTTTTCAGACTTATATACATTAAACTTTATCTGGGTTAGAAGTTTACCTTAACCATTTTAAAGCATTTTTTCTTTTTTGATTCTTATTTTTAAATTTATTGATTTAGATTCTTTTTTTTTTTTAGAAAGATATATTCTTACTTAGTATCTCCAAAAAATTTTAATTTAAAAATTAAATGCTAAGATTGCCATTTTGTTTTTGAACTACAGGTAAAAACTGCCAGTTAACCATAAACTTTGTACTTATATGTTTCTCATTTAAGTGAAAATAAATAAGCTGATTGTAATATATATAAATATAAGCGGTAAATATTTACTTTAATTTTTAAATTCTTGCATCAATACATTCCGTATGTATGAAATTTTTGTTAATTTTCATCATAGGCATAAGGAATTAGATGAACATACAATGATTATTATATATAGATATTGTAAATTTCAGATAAAAATTAAATTATTTTCAAAATTTGCTCTGGAAAAAGGCTTATACTATTTTTTTAAAAATAATTATGGTATATTTCTTGTATAAGCAAAGTATCCGTAGAAAAGTTTTGAAAGCGAAAATGGGGAGTCAGCTTATACTGCGAACTTTGGAAAATTCCAGGACGACATCGCCAACAAAAATACTCAAAATATTTCTCCTTCTATTGAGCATTAGTGAGAATTGGTAAATATCGAGAATCCTACATACAAGGCCTAAAAATCTAAAATAAAGGTTAAAAACTGTATGCCCTAAATATAAAAGTTAAAAAAGAAACACATAAAATGGATAATTTGAAGAAAAAAAAATACTATTTTTTTGATCTTCTAAATATTTCTCCTTCTATTGAGCATTAGTGAGAATCGGTAAATATTGAGAAACCTACATACAAGGCCTAAAAATCTAAAATAAAGGTTAAAAACTGTATGCCCTAAATATAAAAGTTAAAAAAGAAACACATAAAATGGATAATTTGAAGAAAAAAAATACTATTTTTTTGATCTTCTAATTATGAATTTTGAAAATCCATGCTTCATTTGCACCCAGTGCAATTGTTACTAGGTCTACCATTGCTTCAAGAGAAGGGGTACATTTTATTTCCAGGTGTAGCATCTCTTTTCTTTTACTTTGGCTTATATGGAAGTTTTGAATTTTAGATAAATTTCCCACTAAAACGAGAAGGCTTAGTTTCAAAAATATATGGTACTACGTTAATATAAAGATAAGATGTTTGTGAAATAGGTGACAAAGATGTGTTTCAAATCTGCTTTAAAAAGATGCAACTATTATTATTATTTTTTTTTAAATAATTGATTGAGGTAATTCCAATATGCTTATATCCTAAAAAAAGAAATAAATCTTCTGCATCTTATGTGAGTCTTTCTGACTTATGTGTTTTGGATATTATTAACATTTTGTTATTTAAAATAATATTTTATGTGCTTTTTAAAGAACTATTTTTATTTATTGTTTAAATATATTTCTTTTAAAGGCTCTTACTGGAAAGAGGAGCTCCTACAGATAGAAAAAATGAAGATGGAGAAACACCATCAATGGTAAATAATTTTCCTTGTATGTATGCTCCCTAAGTGTATTTTTTGATTCCTGTGTCTATTATCATAGCTGCCAACTCTACTGAATTTTCTAGTAGGCTACTGGATTTTGTCAGTTTTTTCTGGTCTACTGGTTTATTAAAAATTCTCCTGGTTTTTGTATATTTTAGAAAATTCTCTAGAATTGAGTAAGTTTTCTTAAAAAAAATCCCCATTTAAATAGAGGTTTTCCATAGATTATCGCTAGCTTGAATATTTAAATAAGTATTACTAATACATAATGAAGCGAGCCTCATTTATAGAAATTTGTTTAAAACTTTTTTTTTCTAAAATTTTCCGTTTACTTTTACTCAGAACTCCCTTTTTCAATTAATTAACAAATCTTTTAACTATCTTTGATGAATTAAATGCCTATTACTGCTCAAAATTATGAGTAAATATAAAGCATAACATTTCAAACTCATTTAATGTCAATCGTGACTGGAAAATATCACAGTTTTGCTATTTTGATGACTATAATAATCCTTAAGATTCTCTTTGTGTAAAATATTTAGTACATCATGCATCAATTATCATGAAATTTATATTATTTCCTAAAATCTACTGGATTTTTTTTCTATCCAAGTTGGCAACTATGTATCAAATTAAATAGTGTATTTTAATATATTTTATAACTTTAGTCACTTATTGTTCCTAATATTGTGTAAAAATGTTCGGTATAACGCTTTGGGCGAGTAAAACATAGGTTAGTATTGTAACGAAGGAAAGTTCCTTTAATGTCAATCATAACTGGAAAATATTGCTATAAGAATTTTTAAAATTCCCTATCTGCAAAATATTTAGTACATCATGCAACAAATATGAAATTTATATTATTTCCTAAAATCTACTGGATTTTTTTCTATCCATGTTGGCAACTATGCATTATACATTGCAATGTTTCTTTCATTTTAAATTTCAGCATTTATGTTGTATTATTAAAAGTTTAATTTTGTAACTGTTTTAATAAGATTAAAATAATTGGCATTAATTTCATTACTAATTCCTTTAGGCTGTTTTTTTTTAATTAATTGTGTGTAAATGATTTATGCACTTTATTTATTTATTCCATATAATCTTGATTATTTATTTGAATAATCAGTTTAAATTTAATTTGATTACTACTTAGTTTATTTATTTTATTTGGATAATTTATTTCTATCAAGTTTTATGCTGTTATTCTTGCATTTTAATATGCATTCTCCTTCTATAAACATTTTTTGCCTTATGTATGTTCAATTTAAGCTCTTTGAATGTCCTCTTGGATTATCTGCTACTTTTATCTGCTGCTATTATTCAAAAAATTGTTTTTTTATTCTATATCTTGTGTTTTGAGTACCTTAAAGACTAAATTAAAATCTGAATTTAAAAAAATTGTACAATGACATCCCTGCCAACTTTCACCCTTTTCGAGAATGGGTTTTCCAAGTGGTAGTAAAACAATTACCTAAACAAAATCTTACTCAAAACTAAATTTACCTAAACAAAATCTTACTCAAAATTAATTTTATGTTTTAACCAGGTTGAAATTCGCTATCGTTAAGATTATTATGCTATTATAAATTTGTTGTAATTATTTTTATGTAGTGGTGATCATAGTCATTTATAATTATTATTGTAATTCAAAAAGTTAAAAGGAATAACACAAGTTAAATTAGAAAGTAATTATAAATTAGAAAGATTATTAATTATTGATTTATTTTAGGGAATTATGTTTCTCTTTATATTTTAATGTTTGTGTGAATGTACCACAAATGTTCCACCTTTTTATTCTTGTACAATGACATCCCTGCCAACTTTCACCCTTTTCGAGAATGGGTTCTCCAAGTGGTGGTAAAACAATCACCTAAACAAAATCTTGCTCAAAACTAAATTTACCTAAACAAAATCTTACTCAAAACTAAATTTACCTAAACAAAATCTTACTCAAAATTAATTTTATGTTTTAACCAGCTTGAAATTCGCTATTGTTAAGATTATTATGCGATTATAAATTTGTTGTAATTATTTTTGTGTAGTGGTGATCATAGTCATTTATAATTATTATTATAATTCAAAAAGTTAAAAGGAATAACACAAGTTTCGCTACCACTTTACATATGAAAATAAAATCTTCCGGAAAAACCGGAAGAGTTGGCAGCTATGCAATGATGATAAATGGGCTTATTGTTTTATCGTTACATACATTGTTGTTTAATTATATGTTTTGTTCAGATGATATTTATTGTTCATTATTGACCATTGTGATCTAATACTATGTTCTATTCTATAATTAAATTCAATAGATTGTATATCAACCAAATTATTTCTTGCCTTTTAGCTCTTCATGGCTTTTCATAATTATACTATCATATACTTAATATTTATTTTTAGTTATTCTTTGATTATTAATTGTAACTAAAAATATTTTTAATTATAATTTTAGTTGCTGTACCTGCTATATGCCTTTTATTTACTGAATTACTGTACCAAAAAAGTCTGATAATTTTATCTGAACCTTGTTATTAGCAGTCACTTAGTTAATATTAACAAATATTCATTCAATTATACTTTATAAATTCATTAATAATTGCTCACAAAAAATGACATAAATTTGTAAACATGATACAGTAGGGAACCGATTATCCGGAACGATACCATTGCTATTCCGGATAACTGATTTTTCCGGTTTTCTGAATCGCTACAAAAAGCCGTTTTTTTTATTGTTAAACCCAACTAAAAAAAAATTTTTTTTGGAAATAATCTTTAAAAGAAGAAAAAACAATGGACTAATACACTAATGATTATTTCCAAAATGATGGTAAGGTAAACATCTTTTAAACAAGAAATAAAAATCCTAAAATCTTATGAGAAAAAAATATTTTTTTTTTTTGAAATGGCGGGAAAATGTATCGAATTTCGTTCCGGTTTTTTGGTTTTCCGGTTTTCTGATTTCCAGATAACGGGTTCTGTACTGTAGTTAATTATTTTTTATTTGGCTGTTGCTTTGGTTAATTTGTTTCATTGTATCACTTACTTTGATGATTAAATTAAATAACTGCCTGCCAATTTTTATTTTTTTCAGCTCTATCTGTATTTTTTTTAAATGTGTTAAAACCTACTGATTAAGTTTTGACTAATAGAAAATTCTATGATTTATATTAATTTGTTAACTTAGAATTTTATTAATTTTATTGTAAGTTTTTTTCCATGAACCATGGAATTCTATTAATTATATCTTTAGTAGTTAGTTTCATATTTACATTTTTTAAATCTTATTTTAGATATCTTGTAATAATAGATACTTAATTTTTTTTTTTTTTTTTAGTGTTGTGATGTTGGAACTAAAAGCTATAGAATTATTAAAAAGTATCAATCTCTTGTATCTAAGAAAAAACGAGCTCCTTTAGAACATGTAGTCTTCAGGTATATTTATATTGTATTAAAAGAATTTGTAATATATTGGTTTATTTGTCATGTAAGTTTTAAATTTGTGTGAATTAATCTCTTTAAAATTCATTTGCATTTTTTATTTTAGTTTATCATGTATTTTCAGTTTGTCTATTTTATCATACTTTGCTTATTATTTATGTCAACAATATTGACATTAAATATATTTTTGCATAGCTTTTAGCAATCTGGTATTTGTGCAAAACATGAATCAATAAATTTTATTCATGCTAATGTTATATTTAAAGAAGGAATTATTTTTATTGCACAAATAATTATGATTATTTGAGTAAATTGTTATTGAAATTGTGTAATTATTACTTTTATTTTCAATTTGTTTCTAAGTCTTATAAATATTATTTACAGCTTTTTTTAAATATCAGATGTAAAACTTTGTATTTTAAAAATAATAATAATTCTTATGTTTTTTTTATCTTGTAAGTTTTAAATTTTTTTAATTAATCTCTTTTGAAACTCATGTTTACAGTTTTATTTTAGTTTATTATGTACTTTCAATTTTTTTTTTTTTTAGCAGACTTTATATATTATTTGTGTAAGCAATATTTGTATTAAATATTTTTTACGTTGCTGTAGGCAATTTAGTATTTGTCTAAACATTAATCAGTAAAATTTGTTCATGATAGATAATATTATTGTAAAAGTAAGATTTTTTATTTCACAATTAATAATGATTATTTAGGGAACTTATTTGTAATTTAAATTATGTTATTATTACTTTTATTTTCCTGTTTTTTTCTAGATTTTATGAATATTATTTTCAGCCTTTTTGAACATCAGATGTGTGTATTTTATTATTAAAAAAAGTTAATTCTTAATTTCTTTTGTAAAAGAACATTTTATTGAATGTTTGTTTAAATCTGAATCAAGAATCTAGGATATATTTTTTTGTCTTGTACAGTTTACAGAAATGTAAATCTAAAATTAACACTTAACTGAAAATTTTTGTGTGCACAGCTTTGTTATTCTAATCTTACTAATTGCATTAGCTTTTTTTTCTTTAAAGAACGCACTTTTAACATAGCTATTAAAATTGGCTGAATTTCATTTTTAAGGCACCTGAGTCCATTAAATAGACTATTTATTTTGTATATTATGTATTTTTTATTAAACTGAAGAGTTAATCATTTTATACTTAGGGTTTGCCAAAGATTTTGCAAAGGCTTATTTGTTCTTATATATTTGCAGAGATATCTCTCTAGGCTTAGAAAAGTATGCAATCCAAGTTGTAAATGAAATTGACAGTGAAGAGTTTGTGCTGAACTTCCGCTATGTAGTTAAAAACTGCCAGTCATCAGATATAAGTATTGTCACGACTATTGATAGCATGAAAGTATGTTTTGTCTAAATTAATTATTATCATAAAACTAAATAATTACATAACACGTAAAAATATGATTTAAAATGTGTAAACTGCTTCATATTTTCCTATAAATTTTAAAATTAAAATGTTTGTTACTCTCATATGTTTCTTAAAAGCAAACAATACAGAGTTGTCTGTAATTAACAAACAAAAAAAAATTAGATTTGTTGTAAACTAGTTAGTTTTAAAAGAAATTCTTGAAAATACTATATTTAATTCTTCATAATATATACTATTATATTTGAAAAAAAGTTTGCGAGTTTTCTATCATTAAAATTTGCTTTCAAAATTTTTTTTCAATATTTTATGGATTTATAAGTTTATTTATTATATTTAGAACATTATTTTATTAAGTTGTGAGTACATAGCTCAATTTATAATTTAAGTTGGTTTCTAAGGAATAATTACACAATTATACAAGATTTATATTTATTGTTATATAAATTCTTTTATTGTATTAAAATGTTTCTATTATGGTTGTATTTATCTTTTCTGACTACTCTCATCCCTGTAGTAAGAGTCAGATTTTTGAAAAACAATTTGTTTTTAAAAATGTGTTAGTCACTCCTGCCAAATTTCAATGCAATTTAAAAGTTCAAAAACTTGACTTATACATGGGAAAATACTGTATTCTATAGTTTTTATTGTTAATTTTTGATAAAAATAATTCTGCTTTAAACTTATTTAGGCCTAACTTTAAAACCCTATTGTTTAAATCCTATAGTGAGATACGTGAAGTACTTTAGTTTAATCATGTTTCAACTTAATACTACTTTTCATCTCACATTAAAGTAATTAAGCTGTAATAAACAAAGTTAAATTATATTTTTTGCGCCATTCCTATTGTTAATATACTTTTCATAAGTACTTTTAATTTAAAAGAAAATTGAACTTTTACATTTTAGTGGTGTCCTTGTAAAAGCAACTGTGGTACAGGTGATTGTGCATGTGCTCCTAAGTGCTGGTATGACTCTGTAAGTATTCATTTATTAATTTATTTTTTATAAATTAAGTATAAAATGTATTTAAAAATGCAATACATTTCTTTTTTCAGAATGGTTGTCTTGTATCAGATTTTAATATAGCTGATCCTCCTACAATATTTGAATGTCATAAGTTATGCCATTGCCCAATTTCATGTCTCAATAGGGTTGCTCAAAAAGGATTGAGGTCTGTTAAAACTTTATTTCTGTTAGAATTTTAAAATAACTGTGATAAAATATTTTACTGCATTATTTATTTTGAGAATTTTACAAAGGGTGAAACCTTATTCTTTTTATTTTATTTGTATAGTTCTATTCGTGATAGCTGCTAGTTATTAAGTACATTTGATTTTATTTTTCCAATAATGTTCGGATTTACTTTTTCCTAATATTTAAAAAAAATTAATGCTTAGGGGAATTTTTGTATTCTAATAAATTTTGTTTCTAGTTAGTAAAAAATTATATAAATTGAAAATAATGTGAAATAAGCATATTGTTTTCTCGAATTAATATTGTAATGAATAGTAATTATAAACTTATTAATAGAGGTTCTTTTGAAAGTTCAAAAAGTGTACCTTTGCACTGTATTTCGAACTTTTAACTAATGCATAAATTGTGGGTCTTTAAGCACCAAATATCTCTAAATCGAGACTTGCATAAAGCTATTGCTTTATTATTAAGTCCAGAGATGTTTATTTTCTTATTATTGTATCTTTAATTTTGTTAAGTGTAGTACAGTTTTTCCTTTTAACCAGCTAATGATATAAATAAAATATAATGCTATTAATCTGCCAAAATTGTTTGAATTGCAAAATTTAATTTAAAAAAAATATTAGATTCTGAAACCAAATCTTGAATTGATATTAAATGAAGTTGGTCTGAAGTATAACTCTAAATTAAAAATGAAATATATATTGACATTATTATTATGAAAGCAATTCAGGTTAGATCATGTTAGAGAAATGAGTCAGGGCATAAATATTTTCCCTGAGTTTTGTTGTACAGGTGATATATTATGTGTTGATTTTCATTTAGTTCTCCAGTTGTTATTATTATTACTTTAAAAGTCAATATTTCTAATTTTATTGGAATTTTTGAATCGCTACTCTTTGTATTTATTTATAATGCTGAGACTTTAAAATAAGTAATTTATTCAATACTGGTCTAACCAAATTATCTAGAATTTTAAAACATTTTTATTATTTATTATTAAATTTTGCTGATTAATACATTGTTTTTTTAATATAATTTAGAACACCTCTTCAAGTTTTTCGTACTTTAAATCAAGGTTGGGGTGTCCGTTCTTTGAAGAATTTAAGTAAAGGAGCATTTGTTTGTGAGTAAGTGCAATTTTTATGATGTCCTGGGTTTGTTAAAGTTTATAATTGCTTCTACCATTTAAAATGCCTTGCTAATCATTAAAAAAATTTTTTTTTACATGGAATATATTAGAATTAGACTGTTTGAACAAGTTTGTTTCTCTGTTGTACATACTGTTTAATAATCTGTATAACTAATAATGTTTTTTAAGCTTTTCTTGTACTCCTATTCCTAAATTCTTTGAATATATCCACCAATAAAAAGAGTAAGGAGGCTGTTATTATTATTTTTTTTAATGAAATTTGATACTATACAAAGTTGATTTTATAGTGAAAACAAGAAATTTTTATAAATATTTCTTTATTAATAGATAAAGATATTTCTTATAAATTAGTAAATTTTAATTCTATATATTCTTTTAAATGATTAAATAAGTTTTTTGTTTAAAATTTACTAATCTTATTTTTTGTTAAGTGGTCACATTTCTCAAGAAAGGACTTTAACAATAAAAAAAAATAATTATTACTTACATTAAAAGTTCAAACTATTCTAAAAAAATGAAGAAATTCATATATCTCTCGCTTTCTCTAAATTAATTTCTAAGATATCTGCCTTAAGGTATCCGAACACGTTCGGAGTATTTTTTTAAAAATATTAAGTTTCAGAACACTTTAATTATGTTTTTATATTTATTATATGTAAAAACTAATATTAAATAAGAGAAATTAGACATTAATATTATATTTTGTTTTTAAAAGCTAAATAACAAGAAAAAAATGATGTTTTTTTCATAAAACTTGTGAAAGGATATACTTCACCAAAATTATTGTATCAAAAAAGTGTTATTATCAAAATAAAGAGCTGAATTTTGTCTAGTGATTTGACTACAATCATAAAAATATTTGGAAAATTAAATTTTTTATAGAGAATTGAAAACTTTTTATGAGATTTTTGTCAAATTTTTTACGTCGTATTTCACATTTTAGGCCAATAATAAAAAACTATTAAGTATTTTTAATCAATTGTAGCACAAGCACTAGAAAACATTATACATAATACACATACAAATTTTTATTGAAATATATCAACAACTTTTTTAATAATGAATTTTGAAAGTTACTATTTTTGCGTGAAATTACATTCTGAGAAAAAGGCATTTAAAGTATAAATTATATCATTTCTATTTTAAAAATGCTTCAATACTTCTAAAATTCTCCCGATTTGTATGTGATACCTTCCTTTTTCTCAATTTTACAAATTTTTTGTTTTTTTGCAACCCTATTTTTTTTCTGACAATTTTTACATTAGTTAATGAATGGCGTTGAGACTCATACACACGCTCAAAATCAAGTTCTGTAAAACCTTTTAAAGTTTTATTGCCACGGCTGACTCCAACTATGTCGAGTATGCTTTTCAGTCCCAGAAAACCTTTATTAAACTGAATAACAGCCAAATACACACCAAATTGTAATGTTTGCAATTCAACGAACACCTCCTTAGGGACAAATTTCCAAATAATGCCATTAAAGCTACTAATATAAATGATAAATTGAGAGGTTCATTTCTAGCAACATTAAAATAATAATTATTTAAGTCAAAGAAAGATAATTATCCCAAAATAAAGATAAATATAACTGTTTTTGTCCCACTTCCGGTTTCGGAATGCTATTTCCGGTTTCATTTTTTAGTCATCAACTAATATTCTTTTAATCATAACTTTTGTTCTAATTGACGCACAGTTAAAATTTAAACTGTTTTGAAAACTAGAATAAACGGAGATTCGTAATATAGAATAAAAAAAATTGTCTTTTTAGGCTAAAATTCACTTTTTCAACGTGTACGGATACCTTAATAGGAAAAAAAGTAGTGGTCTTTCGAGCTAAAATGAATCTTTTAATTGGTTTTTTGATTTTTTAACCTTTATATGTTATTTGAATTCCTAAAGTTTTTTTTATACATTTTACAACATTGTATCCATGTGTGATAAGTATTTTTTGAGTTTTTCTTTTATTTTTCTCATAACTAACCATAAAAATGTTCTAATTGATATATATATAAGTAAATTGATGCACAAATTTATAGTAATGATTATAAAGCAAATTTTTTTTTTTCAAAATGGAAGTATTAGTTGTCTAAAATTTGAGAATTATTAATATTTTAATAGAATTGTGCAATTAATAATATTTTTAGGAACCATGTGTACTTGTGAAACAACTGGATTTTTTTTCCTATTAAAAAAGTTTTAAGAAACTGATTATATGCTATCTTTTCTTTTCTGCATTAATAAGGAAACACTCAACAGTGCTTAAAAAAATGTAGTCAGGAAGTCAGGGAAAATTCTTTTAAATTCATCTTTCTTGCTAAATATTGGAAAAAAAATTGATTGATTTGAATTTTGGATTTTTCCTTTTTTTCTCCCCTCAATCAATATCAATCGGTCTGAAGAGACTCATTTCCTCTAAACACTATAGTATGCTCTCTTGTCAGATGTGTTTCTAAATTTCTGGATAGCAATTATTTTTTTTACATAAGGGTTAAAAAAAAAACTGGAAAATATGTTGGAGGCATAGATAAGTGATTTAAAGCTGTAATTGTCAGGGGTGATTGTGCTTCGGAAAAAATCCGGATTTCCGGAATTTTCGCTAACAGTGATCTGGAAGTTTCCGGAGATCGAAGGTCCAGACGTTTCAAAATATCATTTATCACAGAAGTTTCCGGAAATCAAATTTTCAAAGGTGGAACTTAAAAACACAGTTTATTTTATTTGTTTGTAAGGGAGAGCCAGAGAGATACTTTATAAGCTTATATTCATGATTAATATTCATTTTTTATCAGTAAATAGTTGTTATAATCATAAACTCAAGAAAGAAAGACATATTTGTAAATTTTAATTACTTCTCCAGGTCATCATAGGTATGTGTAAAATTTTAAATATATTTTAAGTAAACTAAGAAATATAGGAAAAAAAAACTTGTTTAAATTTTTTTTCAATTTAAACTGTTTTTTGTGTTTTTTTTACTCAAGAAATTTTCTGGAATTTTGACTTGGGCTCACAATCACCCCTGAATTGTATAAGTATGATTACTGCCTGTTCTTTTAATTTCTCAATTCAGGTGTGAACTAGAAAATAAATAATATAATTTTATTTTATAACCGTCATTAAACAGCCGACACAATTTTTGAGTATACAATTACCAATATTCAACTCCGTTGCCATGTAATTTTAAATGTTTGGGGATCAAGTATTAAGAGATATTTGCCTTGGAGGAACACTTTTTGATGAAACTAACCCACATTTGCATTACATGAAAAAGAAAATCTTCTACAGTTACTTTGATGGCAAGGGATTTCTAACCTGTGATCCATCTATTACAGAGGATATTTTATATTAGCACTGTGGTCTGTTGCAGATTCGCATCAGCCAGCCGTCACTAGGTTTTTAACCAAGTTCACCTAATTAGGAGGCAAATGCTTTATCCCCTGAGCCACCACTGCTCAATAAAAGTATTCAATGCTAATCATTGATTTCACTAACATACGATATCGCTTCATGAGAGAATGTTTGCAAATCTGTTACTGTTTATGATCCGAACAGCCAATAAACTTTTCAATAATTTTTTACTCATTGTTGACCAGTGACAATTTAATTTATCATTGCCCTTGCATTATTTATTTCAATTTGATGAAACCCACAACAATATAGAATATTCCAAAGTTTATTTCATTTCATTCAATATAAATGAAATTTATTGGAGTTTATTTGAAATGTTTGGGGATCAAGTATTAAGAGATATTTGCCTTGGAGGAACACTTTTTGATGAAACTAACCCACATTTGCATTACATGAAAAAGAAAATCTTCTACAGTTACTTTGATGGCAAGGGATTTCTAACCTGTGGTCCATCTATTACAGAGGATATTTTATATTAGCACTGTGGTCTGGTGCAGATTCGCATCAGCCAGCCGTCACTAGGTTTTTAACCAAGTTCACCTAATTAGGAGGCAAATGCTTTATCCCCTGAGCCACCACTGCTCAATAAAAGTGTTCAATGCTAATCATTGATTTCACTAACATACGATATCGCTTCATGAGAGAATGTTTGCAAATCTGTTACTGTTTATGATCCGAACAGCCAATAAACTTTTCAATAATTTTTTACTCATTGTTGACCAGTGACAATTTAATTTATCATTGCCCTTGCATTATTTATTTCAATTTGATGAAACCCACAACAATATAGAATATTCCAAAGTTTATTTCATTTCATTCAATATAAATGAAATTTATTGGAGTTTATTTAAAATACTTTGCTTTACTTCCATATTCAATTGCAAAATAATCGACTGTATCATTATATTGTTTATGGGTAAAATTGGCAATCGACAAAGTGTTAAAATGTTTCTGGAATTTTTAAGCAGCTCAATAAACTGAATTGCTGCTTTTTCTTTTAGATATGTTGGTGAGTTAATTAGAGGGGATGAAGTTTATGATCGTGAAGATACTTATATTTTTGATTTAAACAGTAAGGTAAGATTTAAAGGGTAATAAGTATTATGTTTATTTTGTTAGTTCTGTTCATTTTAATATGCCTATATTTTTGTAGAATGGCGACTACTGCCTTGATGGTCGATTTTATGGAAATGTTGCCAGATTTTTTAATCACAGCTGTGAGCCTAATTTAGTAGCTCTGCCTGTCTACATGCAACACCAAGATCAAAACTTCCCTCATATTGGACTATATGCTTTGCGGGATATCCCTGCTTTTGAAGAACTATGGTATAAATTTTTTTCTTTAATAAACATAAATAATTATCATATTGGAGTACTAGATATTTTCTTTTTCCTTTCACATGCTTTCTTTTTCAATGCATTATTTTTTGTTCTATTTTAAAGTAAGAAACCTTTCAGTAGAACTAGTTTATAACTAGAACAGGGCCAGGTGTAGTTACCTACAAATCAATTGCCCAACCTATTTTTTTTTTTTTATTTGAAATTATTTTAACTTACAGCTTTGATAATAAAAAAAAAGAGTATGCTGAAACTTTGAACAGTGTTAAATAAAAAAAATAAAAATAAAAAATTTATCTTACCATTTTTAAATGTATGCTAGCTCATTTATCAGATAATTTTATTTAGAAATAAATGTATCAGCTGATAATATTTAAAAAAAAAGGGAAAAGGAATTACATGATTTTTATTTGTCTACTGCTAGGCTACAGTCCCATGTTTTAACTTGTGTGAGTCACTGTGAACCAATAAAGATCCTCGCAATTCTATGCACAAATTTTGGAATAAAAAGAGTTTTTATAAACTATTTTAAAAGAAATTAAATGTTTATAAACAGTCATATACTTTTTTGTGACAGCTTCAACTTTATAGTAGTCAAGAAATTTATTAAAAAATTCATGTTAAATTCATATTATGCTTCTAGTAACAGATGATTGACATGCTTGTAATAGCTTTATTATCTACGTGTTTAATTATAAATCAAAAATTTTTTAAACAATTCTTTGTTGCACCAGGAATCTTGTGAAATCAAAGGTCCTCCAAACTGTGTTTGACTAAACTTAGTTTGAAATATATATTTGTCTGTCATAGTTGCAAATCTATGAGAACGTTTCTCCTCTATACACAATTTCCCTTGTTAATGATGGAAAAAAATTGGTTTTGCTTTGTTGAGAGAAAAAAGAAGACATTTAAGTGCAACTTTCAGTGTACATACGGAATTGGATTAGAAATTTTTATCATAAAAAATTATGTAGCACTTTTACTCGGGTATAAAAGAAGTCATTTTATAAATTATATCTATACTATTTTGTTATTTATTGCAAGACAGCAAATTATTTTGAAATTAAATTCCATGCAGGTGGATTACGAATCAAAATTCCACAAAGAAAAATTTTGTGATCAAATCTCACACTGAAAAATTATTGCAGAGCCACATAAGACAAATTCACAGCTGAACGAAATATTCTAACAAATGCAAAAACTTTATTTTGCTATTGTTAGTCCTATAAACAGATTGTAGACAGAGCAGAAATCAAATAATCAAGACTTTACTGTTGTAGAAAATAATCTGGTAAATCATGTTACCCTTTTAAGGAATAAAATATTTTTTTTTGTTGCAATTTTAAAGTCCCTTAGAAAACTGTTTTTGGCATTTACTTTAATTATGCATATTAATTTGTGCACTATTTTTTTGAGGAAAAAAAATTTTCATGGACCAGAAATTGGGTCATTTAAAGTAAAACTGCATTGTACTCTCATGGGTTTAAAGTTAGATTAAACAAAAAGTCTTACATGTTACTGTTTGTCTTATAAACAAAACAAAAAGTGGATAATTGTGATTTTAACAGTTACTTTAATTATGTATACTAATTTTTACTTTTTTTGTTTTAGTTTTGACTATGGACCAGAATTCTGGATAACTAAATGTCAAACTATATTATGTACTTGTGGATTTTCCAGTTGTAAATATTCCAAAGATGCCATTGATGATACCCTTGAAACTATATATTGTGCAAATAAAATTCTGGATTCATATGAAACTGAGGTTGTAGAAGAAACTGATGCAGTGACTCAATCATTTTTTAAGCCTATTGAAACTGATGACGAATTAAAGTCAAGACAGTTTTATACAAATAATTGCCCAGGGTCATTATCAGAAAATAGAGAAATAAATGCTGTTGAACTAAATGTTATGTCTACAGAAAATGAATAATTGCCAGATTAGCCCATGTTAAATATTGTGAAAATGATATTTTCTATCAATAGCCCATGTTAAATGTTTGTGAAAGTGATATTTACGTAAAAACATCCTTTAGTTATTTATCATAGAATTTGTCACTCTTCATTGTTCTGCCAGTACAAATAATCAAAATTATTTTTCTTATTCAAGAACATTTTTCATGGTCATCATATTTGGTTTGTCATGCTGAAACTTTTCTGAACATGGTTCGACAGCCTCCTGCAGGTTGAGGTTTTCTGTTGAAGATTCCTTTAGGGCAATTTATTTTTTGACATAAGTTGCCAATTCTTTAACTTAACCACTCTAAAGTCTAATTAACATTGTTCTTTTGAGTTCCATTGTTGTTTTGAACTTTCTCTTTACTGCCTAGTAGGCTCTGAAACAAAATTTGTTACTGTTTTTTTCCATCTATTTTAGCAATATGAGCATCACTGTTCATTCTTTTAATTTAACTATTCATTTTTTTCTTTTAATTCTTTTCAAAACTGTTATTTTGTGTTCTCCATTATTAAATGAGGCCAGGTTTTTGGACCATACACTAGGAACAGCCTCATGTAAGTTTTATCGATAAACGAACAATATTTTTTTCTGAAAATAAAACTAGATCGCAATTAAGTGGGGAATCCATAGAGTATTGTTTTTAAATTTTCATTTATATTTTAGTTTTATTTAGGAATTTGTATGCTGAAGTATGTCATTTAATATTGCAGGAATAGTAATAAAATTGATAACTATACAACAATTATTTTGAAATAACTGATATAATATTTTTAATCAACGTTTTTTTTATTTTAAGATAGGTCTAGCTCTTGCACCCATTTCTAAGCTCCACATATGGTTAGTTGTAGAGTTATCTGTTATTGCATTTCAAAAATATAACTAAGTAACTTAGTCATTAAAAAGCATGCATTACTTGAATTCAAATAATGTTGTTTTATATCTCTTCAATATTATGCTGAAAATAATGCCTGCTTTGATGGAGTTTTCATTAAAAATGTTTATAAGTGTAATTACATTGGAGTATTTATTATTTATAAAATTTTATGCTGTATAGTTATAATCACTAAAATTATTCTTATTTACTTTTAGGATATCATGATAAAAATTCTGTTTAAATAATTATAAGAAAACTAATTTTACAAGATATCTTAATGAATTATTAAAAATGGTTCTCCTTGAGGATGCAGGGATTAGTACTCAAGCGGCAAAATTATATGATACAATAATTTTGCCTCCTGAGTTTTTATCCATGCTTTTTGTCACATTTTAAACTAATTTTTTTTTTTTTTTTTTTTTTTTTTTTTTTTTTTTGCTGTGTTAAGAAACTGATTTTATCCCATTTCATTTAATAGAATGACAATATCATAGCTCCCAACTTTTATGGTTTTTCAGAGCAATTTTTCTTAGTAGTAGTATTGTATGATTTAAGGTTAGGATGGCAAGGATGGTTTTCAAACTTCATATAATTTCTTCCTTTAACTTTTGTTTTACACTTTTCAAAATTATGTATTGTCATTTATAATTATTGTAAAATGTTGTCAGTTAATCAGCACTATTAAGAGATCTCTTTATATATATTTGTTGCAGAAAATAAAATTCCTTTTAACCTTACCATCTTACATTTTATTTTGCTACATTTAAATCACCCATGTGCTATAGGCACTTCTCTGTCAACAATGTTTTGGATTTAGGCCCTATATAACTGGTACTTAAAAAAGAAAAATTTCTGATATTATCGCTATAATTGTTTCTTGTAATTGTAATTTTTTTTGTAAATAATGTATTAATTTGTATAGAATACATATTTTGTTGATATTTTTTTCTTTTAAAAAAACTTTATTGTGTTTATTTTATGAGAAAAGTTGTGTGCTCTTATTACAATTTGTATTAGCGATTGTGATATCAGAATCTTCATTGTGCAGAAGCCTATATTTTAGTTGCGCATCCCTTAGATATAGTCTATTTTTTTACAGGTTTCAAATTTATTATACTGATAATTCACTTATGTTATTTTACTTCAGTTATATTATTTTTAATAATGCACATTTTAACCCAGCTAAAAATCAACTGCAGAAAATTTATAAAAATATTTCAGTTTGAAGACTGTGGTGATTTAACCAATTCCGCTACAGAATTTTTGAGGTTGAAATACTGCAAAATTTCTGCAATTTGTAAACTAGTAATTTTGTAGTAGTATCAACCTCAAAAATTTTACAGTAAATATGTTGAGCTATTAGATGGTGCCATCTGTTGTTAGCAATAGGAAATACTAAACTTTCTTTTTTAAAGAAAAAAAGCTTTTTTTTTGTACTTATTCAAATAATTAGGAGCATAAATTTAGGAGTGTGAGGCACTATTTATATGTTGAAAGAATATAAGAAATATTAAGATGTCTTTACTAGGTTTCCCATTCTCTCAGTCGTGAAGTTGACTGATTAGCCCTCTCATCTACAACTCGGTTACAACCACTCTACTACGAACTAAATGGTTTCATGAGGTAGGCCCAGTTTGCGCAGATAAAATGGTTCTTTGTTTAATCATACTAGATTAAAACAGTTAATAAAAGATTTATCTCTGAAATAATAGTTTGAGTACCATCTTTTTTATGGTTATTTAATTGTTTTGATTGAAAACAATATGATAACAATTAAATGAATTATTATTTAACCATTTTTTATGAGAACTTCCTTACAACATAGACTTGCTTTTTTCAACAGAATTGTCATTCTTTTTATTTTTCAAATTTTTAGAATGAATTTAAAAAAAAAGAAAAGGAAAACAGTTCCATGAATCTTATACTTATTTATGTTCAGTTTCTATATTTTTGCCAACAAAGTTGTTTGTTTAATTTAAAAAGGTTTATTTTTCATTCACAAGAAAGGTATATTGTTTTAAATTATCTAAATTTATTAGATAATTTACAAATTTCAGAACAAAACTAAAATTAATAAATTTTTGTAGGAGAGGTTTGAAGCTAAAAAATCTGAAGTTAAATATCTGTTTTCAAATTCAATTTCGTAAACTCTTTAAATATAAATTTGCTTAAATTCCTTTCTGATTATTTATTTTGATTAGACAAATGATAAGTATAATTTTGATTCTGAAATAGCTCTAGTTTAGTGTGAATTTGAATAAAAATAACTAATTAATATTAACTACTTACATTTTACTCTAATATTAATTATGTAAATTTTACTCTAATATTGTTTTCACCTTAACTTTCTGTAAAAGCTACTTTTTAAGTCAAAATAAATAAATAAGTCATAAATTAATGAAAATAAAATTACTAAAATACAAAAATATTTAATTACCTAATTTTAAACAGATTTTAAATGTGCATTGTGTATCATATTTAATAATTTACCACTCTTCTAAATTATAAAATAGTTACAATTATTTAAAATACCAGAATATAAAATAACTGCAGTTTTTCTACGGGCTAATCAGAAAAAATACTTTTGAAACAGTGACTGTATATTTACTTCAAATTTACTGCAGTATAACTACAAATATAAAGTTTCATTTTTTTAAATTTATGATTTCAAAGCAACATCACATTAACTAAAGTAATTTTGTAGACAATAGCTAAAAAAAATTTTGATATAAATTACAGAGAAATTGCTTCACATTATCTCTAAAATTACTGAAGTATTTTTGCAATTAGGAAAACTGCAGTTTATTTTTAGCTGGGAATTAATGCAATGTAGATAAATGATTTCGAATTATGTGAAAAACGAAGCAAATTTTTTGATAATTCATTGGATCACTATTGTATAATTAAGTATGTTTTTATATTCAATGAAATATGATTTCATCTTTAGTGGAATATGAAATCACAGTTCGTTTTGAAGTAAAATTTATTATTTTCAAGGTACTTCTTTATGTAACTGTTTGTTAAATATGATGTATTATTACATTAATGTCATTTATCTGTGGTATTTTATTATCTGTGACCTTATTTTAAGTAGTGCACTATTTAAAAAAGAATTCAAATTTTGTGAAAAATTAAGTAAATGTTTTGATTATTTGACTGACTATTGAATATGAAATTCCTGCATAAATTTAAAACAACAATGATAATTTTCATGGTAATATTTCAAAATAAATATTTATTTGATTTATTTTTTTACAAGTTTTTGGTACAAACTTTTTAATCTTGTTTTCAGGAAATTTATTGTAAACTAACATTTAAAAGCTTCTACATATTTATGTTAGTTAACTACAAAAATTTTATTTATTATTTTATTTGTTTTTTAAAATAATGCATTTTGAAAATAATGCAAGCATTTCTTCTAGTCATAATAAACATATTTGAAACTTTTGCACTACATTTACCCCTACTCTTAGAATGGGCTAAGAGCAAATTCTAAAATACTGATTAGACTATGAGCACTATTTATTTCTTTAATTTGAATCTGTATTTTAAATGAACTAAAAATTTTTCATCGTTACATAATCAGCTTATGTAAAACAACCTCTAGGCACCATGATATGCATCTGCATATGGCTAGACACGATTGTTTTAGCTCCTTGCGCAACTTTGTGTAAGAGGTTTTCAACTGTGTTGTGTTTTTTAAACAAAAAACCTGGAGAAAAATTAATTTATTGTGGAAAAGGCATTCCATGCAATAACACAAGCTGATTAGCAGTGTCAGTAATTAAATTATTAAAAATAATTAAAGGCAATTATATATTTCTCAAACCGCACATTATTCAATGATTATCAAGCTTGTAAATATGCAGTTGATGTATACATATTTTTCTTCGCATTTGTAAATATTCCCATTTTGAGATCTTTCACTTTGTGCCATTTCCCTTCTATTTATTTCTTTTGATGACTTAAAATAAAATGCTTGAATCTTTTTACGTAATATTTATTAACATGTTTTTCAGGCATGCTCCATTGTTCAACTGTGCATAATATCACACAATTACCAATAATCGTCCATTGTATGTACTGTTACAAAGATTTTATCGGGAGTTAAAAGTGTTTTGATTGTGTATTCATAAACTTGCATAATGTATATTTTTTTATCATTAAAATAAATTCGTTTTGATGCATCTGATTCTTCTTATCTAAGAAGTCGTTTACCAATTACATCAACAGCAAAAAAACACGCTTCTTACAATAATATGCTAAAAATTGGCGTACTGGGAGAAAAAAATTCAAGCAACTAGATGGTAACAAAGTAAGGAAATATTATTGTATGGATTGAAATGCAGATATAGAAATTATATTTTTTAATGCCTCGAGACAAAATTAATCGTAGAATTGAGTTCCCTTTTTTTTTTTTTTTTTTTTTTTTTTTTTTTTTTTTTTTTTTTTNTTTTTTTTTTTTTTTAAATATGAGAATTTCTAGGCTTAGCAAACCAAGTTATATATATTTCAAACTGAGAAACTGAAAATTATATCGGTTGCTTATTGTGGCAACCTAGAAGGCAAGGAGTTCAAGCGTTGGAACAAATTAGCCTTCATGAAGAACTTTTTGATGGAACTCACCTGCATTTGAATTGCATGGAGAGGAAAACCTCACATTAGTCTAACTGTAAGAGAATTCTAACCCTGTATATCACACTGTATACCCTGTATATTATCAGTGTTGTGGTCAATATGAGCTTATACTAGGAAAATCGATGGCTATTATCAACCAGCCATTGCAGGGATTTAAACTTGGGTCAAGGCAAGCGCTCTGCTTGGCAACCACGGCTCTGTATTACTTAATTTTAAAAAAATTTATAAGTGTGCCAATCTAAATTCGCTTAGTCTGGTTAGTAAAATTTGGATCATGTTGATTTTGATCTTATATTTTATGGAGGCGAAATACTTAGAAAATGCACCTACATCTGTAAAAGTCTTTGTTTCATGGTGTGTTAGAAATGTAATTTAATTTTTTCTTTAGTTTTTTCATAGAATGTTTGTCGATTTTTTTATTTTTTAAGATCGTAATGGTAATTACTCTGTCCATTTTAAGAGAAAACAGGAATATAAATTTTGCTTGGTTTTAAAATGCATGTTAACTTTTTGAAGGCATTTAATTTAAAACAAACTTTCAGAAAAAAAGTAAGTTTTAATTTACTAAATCTTTGGAAGAAAAGTGCTTTTTTTAAAAAAAATTTTGTTTGAGCTCTTTACTGGAAAAGAAAGGCCTAATAAATTCTCTTTAAAATTTTGTATTTACTTATACTTTAAATGAAATAAATACTCTCTTAACTCTTTTCAATGCCTGCTAAAAATATTAAAAGATTTAGAAATATGTTCAACTTTTACCATAATCAAATTGATACTTGATTTTGGTAAAGTTTATGTGGTTATTTAACTTCTAAAATATCTCCGATATTTGGTCCCAAAAGGATTATTTTTATGAAAGAGTCCTATTTCACAATATTCTATGAAAAAATAACATTATTTTTACCATTTCATGCAGTTTCATTGGATAGAATAATTGCATATCATTAATAAGCAAAAAAGATCTCTACATATTTGGTCGCAATCAGCATCAAACGAATAAAAGTCATAGAGGTATTTACCTGTAAGTTATTTATTTAACGATTATTTCTAATTTTATAATTAAGTTTAATATAACAGTATTTACCTGTACTATTTATCAACTTTTAATGTTATACTCTGCCATCTCGCATTTTTGATTTTTTGAAATCTCATTAAATTTATAGTTTAAAATTGTCCTATCTGCATGTCAAAATTTATCTCTGTAGTTGCACTTGCGAAAGCAATGTTACTTAAATGAACAGTTTTTTGTTTAAAAACGCTGAGCACTTTCATTATTTTCAAATTAGTTTGTTCGTTTTTATTTTTCTGAAATATAAAAAATATTTATGAGGAAAATTATTATTGTTGTGTTATAATAATTTTTCTGATAAAACAATTATTCTTTATACGATAATTGTTATAAGGAATATTGCCAAAAAGGTTATACGGCAAAGCATTGTATTTCTTGTTAGTGTAAATCATGTTAGTAGATATGGCGAAGTAAAAAAAAAAAAAATGCGAATTCTAATTATAAAATATGTTATATGATTTTTTTTCTCAAATTTTATCTAAGAATAAGTTTGGTAAACTCGTTCCGAGAGAAGTATGATTAACAGTAAACTGCAATGTGCGTGTCCTGTTAGGGAAGAGGAATCCTTGCACTTATTCCAATATTCAGAGCAATCAAATTCTCCAAAGTTTTGTAATGAAAGAAACGAAGAGCAATAGAGGAGTTTAAATTACCTATTTCTATCCAAATTCGCTGCATTCGAGAAAGAGTGTTTAAGATATTTTTTTTATTTAAAGCCTTTTGACGTCAGATTATATACTCTCTTAAAAATGCTCTCAAATAATGTAATATTTTAGATTTGAATTTACTCGGAAGCTGAATAAATTAACTGCTCCATAAAATTCCTCATTAACTCTTAGAATATAATGCAAAATGCAATACGGTTTCGTCTCTTTAATATATTTTTCAGCAAAAAATGTTCTGAAAACTAATTTTAAGAATTGTAGCAATTGCTCAGATATTTATATCCAACAAAAGCTTCCTTCAGTTCACGATTTCCCATTATTCGTTTCGAATCATTAATGCTCGGACGGAGTTAAAAATACAATCGTTATGGGACGAAGA